TCGTCTTTGTCGAGCAATTCCTCGAGTGCGCACGCTCCTGACTATGCCGATCTCTTCGAGCCTCTTCTGCATTGTCAGGAAGGAACTCGCAATCTTGGCTCTCTTTTTTTTAATTAAGCTCGAATATTTCATATTTATAGTCTCGTAGTGCATCTGAAAGCATTGTCGTTGTTATATCCTGTTCAAAATCGCGACTAACGATACGATCGTTTTGCTTGTCGTATTGCGAGCAAAGTATTTGCGAGACGATCAACGGTTTCCCAATAGTTTCCCCATCGCCGTTTCATCCGAACGCTAATCGCATTTCTCTCCGACAGGCGACGATCGCCCGGTTAATAGCTTATTTACGGCTCGTGATTACGAATACGTTACCGCGTTTCTTCAATCGATACGATGAAAGGCACGTACGGCAGTTGCAATGGCCGTGGCTGGACCACTGCCATTGTCACTCTTCTCTGTTCCATTTTACTCTTCTCTAAACCCCCGCTAGAGTCGGTTTTTTTTTTTTTTTTTTTTTTTCTTTAAATAAATCTAAGCGACAAATATAAATATCACGTTTAGCGTCGAGCCTTTTTGTTTTTTCTTTTCGATTCTACAAGTTTCGCACCTGTGTGTATTATTTATCGATGTAATAGCGCGATTAATTAAGCTTTGAATTCGGCTCGTCGGATTGTTCTTGCGTTCAATTTCCAAAAATCGAATTTATTCGCGCGATTTCGTACTTTCATGCGAATTGTCGAAACGAGTTGAAGGAAAATGTTCGATTCCCATTTATTTCGTTCGCTCGTGGAAGCGACCGAGCAAACGTTCGAACGCGGAACAATCGGACGCGAGAAAGGTGAAATTCTTTTTGCGAGAGAAACGGCAGCCTAGTGACATCTACCGTGTGCTACGTTAACTACACAGGTAGTAAGGGAGCCGATTGTCAGAGGGCGCGAGCATCGATAACAATACGAATGGAAAATCCTCCGTTCGGGGAAAAAACAAGCCTTAATTTATTATTATTTGCCCGTGTACATAACAAGGACTTGTGTTTGTCAAAACCGGTCTAGTTGGGAAATGGTTCGTTCGCTGGTGATCTTCCCGTCGCTCTTGCATTCCTCCGCATCAAATCATGCTGCGAGGAGGTTAGTCCAGGTTCTTTCGAACGGTCGCTGAATTCATGATCACGCACTCGATTTACGCGATTTACGGGAAAAGAATCGACCCTTATTATAGTGATGCCTTATGTACAAATTCGTTTAGGTACGTTTCGGCTACGCACATGTATATACATATAAATATAAATATATATATATATACGTATAATCGGCGAGGAACTGTCCACGTGGTGTTAAATTGCGGCTGAAAGATCTATGCACTTTTATGTGTGGTACACGTGTAGAAAAAAAGAAAAAGAAAAAAAAAGAAAAAGATAGCGATGCATATCCAGTACGTATATAGTTAGTGTAATATTATCTGTATAATATGCGATTCAAATAATTTGAGCCGACAAATAATTTCGTGATTTCGTCGATTATCTCGTTGATACGCGTAACAAGTAGAAAGAATAGATAACAAAACAACAGGTCACCCTGAATCTTGAGTTGAAATCGGGGAAAAAAAAAAGAAAAAAGATTCTCGCGGAGCGATTTTATACCTTTACTTTTGTTTCTTATTTTTTTCTTTTTTTTTTTTTTTCTTTTTTGTTTCTTCATTCTTACTTTCCTCCCTTCTTCCTACTTTCTCGTTCAGGTATCCAAGTGAAACGCAAAAGGACTACGATAACGCACAATCGTTCGCAAAAATCGTTCATGTTGTAACAATCACTTTGTAATTGATCTGCAACGGAGGATAACGTATATAAGTATTCACGAATCTATGCTTTAATTATGCTATCACTCTTCAAGACAAAGGGTTAAATCTGCTTCGCGATTTTTCAAGCCGCATTACCTCATTTTTCGGCACTCTTCCCTTTCACATCTGATCCTCGATCAATACGTTCGCTCGACCAACATTAATCTTAACACAGATATACCTCATTTACCGAAAAAGGGAATTCAAGGCGGTTGTGACGAAATTTCATGCATTTTCCTACACGATTTCCTAGAATTTTGTTCATAATGTTTGTAAATCATTGTAATTTGTGTGTTGTGTAATTTAAATATATCACAACGTATACGTATTATATATTCGCAAATAAACGCGTTTGACTGTCCCATTTAAAAAGAATAAATGCGTAATATATATGTATACACTTGTAGGTAACATTCATCGCAAATGTTTCACCAATTAATAGACAATGACGTAAAAAATTGTTTTGTAGCAGAGATACATATCGTTACACCCGATAAACATCTATTTCCTGCAGTTGCACGTGTACAATACACGCATACATGCATACATAATTTCACGTTATCATTTGCATCCATGGCGTTTCTTTTCTTTTTCGTCAGAGAAAATATTTTACGCGAAATTTCCTCGCGTTATTGAATCGACATGTACGTAAACGTCTGCACGTAACTGTCAAACTAGCGTTTGGTTGAAATTTTTAGTGCGTCGATCCGACTCGATTCGATTCTAACCTATGAAAATTCAAAGTCAGGCAAAGTACGATCCGATTCAATGTGACCACATCTGTATAAATAAAATATGAAGTTACTAGCAGAGGGTGTGTAGAGTGTCTGACGTTTCGAGGCAAGCGTTGCAAATTTCCCCTAGATGTCTAGTTAATCATTCGAGGGAAATTTCCTTGAATGGAGGTTGAATCGATGCGTGACCTAACCCCCATTAACGCGGCAAGTGGTGCCATCTGAGAGACCAGACGGGAAGAAGATAGGAAGAAGGGAAACATGGATGTGGACACAGCGAGTGATAATACGTCCATCGATGACAAAATCGACGACTTTTGTGAGAATCCAACGAGGGATGCTCTGACAGAAGGTCTTATGAGCCTTTTGAAACCGACGGTGGATCAATTGGACGAAAGAATTCGCGCCACGAGGTATGCGACGCTTCCTTCTTAAATATGCTATCGCAGCGTAGACGTAAACAGTAGCGTTTCGAAGAGTTTTCGAGAACTCGGCGACATGCACGTTCGACTATTTAATTACCCAGAAATTCATTGGTTTCCATAGAATATGTCAGATAGAATTGAAACAACGGATCGAGTCGTTGACGGAGGAGTTGCAGAGGATCAACGAAGCGTTGCAGTGCCCATTGGAAACGGACTCGTACGTGAAAAAGCTGATCAACGCCAAGCACAAGATCACGATTGTCAGTAACATTTTACAAAGTACGCAAGAACGGTTGAATAAAATTCATCAAGCAGTGGAGAGGAACACGGCGAAGAGGAAAGCTTTGTTGGATCACAGCTCCTCGTACGGTAATGCATCTAATATTTTAAGCAAGGAAGAACAGGCAGACGTAGAAAAAGCGACTAACGTTTCTAAGGAATACGAATGAACGATGATAACAAGCGTGAGAT